CTTTCTACCAGCTTCTATGGATTTCCTGAGGTTTCTAGATGTCCCTGCATTTTGGATGGACCTTCTCGAGTATATTGATGTGCTCTCAAGTTTTCCAGAGCCAGTGGTTGTCTCCTCATTGCTTCCAGTGGGCTCTGTACCTTATTTGACTTCTGCACAGCACCATGTAGGCTGCAGTGGGAGAGTCTGCAGTGACAAAATCAATCTGGTCTCAAAAGTTGCTAGTCATTAATAGCTGGAAGTTACTGCTTCTCCACTGAGCAATCTATGGCTGCTGTTTTGTGTAGATAGTAAACCCCTAGTAAAAGTATAGGCCAGCACAGGTTTCACTTGAAGAAAAAGCAGTAGCAAATGACATCTGGGAAGGATTTTTCATCTGTCAATTTTAATTTTTTGGGTTCTGTAGTTACCCCTAGTCAATAAGCGAATAGGAAAGAATTAAGGTGACAGTAAACTGTATACATATTATGTCATGTCACCCTTTTAAATTCTGTATTGTCTGCTGTTAAAATTTGCATGAGAAAACCCTCAGTTTATTAGGGTATGAAATAAACATGTTGAAATTTCTGGTGAAAAAGAACTTAGTATTTGGGCTATTTTATGTCCACTTCAATGGTTTTAGTTTTTAGAGTGTGACTGATCAGCAGTAAGTACCTGAAACTGTTTTCATCTTCACCAAATGAGGAGTAGTTCTCTCAAATCAGTAAAAAAGCCTGGAATCACTGAAAAGATGTTAGAATGAGTTCCTTTAGTCCTTGGTATGGGAGGGAGGGAGGGAGGGAGAAGGAAAGATGAGGGATCAAAAAAAAATGAAATGCAATCCTGGTCTTTTCAGCTCTGTAGAAATTTTCACACATCCTCTTACTACAAATGTTCTCAGTTGGGAGTGAGCTTGTCTGCTGTGTTCAATAAGGTAATTCATGCAAGGAGAAAGTGTGTGCATAAATGCTTTTCAGGATTGAGACCTATACATTACACACTTCCTCCTCATTTAATGTCTTCCACTCAATATGTTAGATGTTTTTAAATTCTACTAATTGTCCAAACCAAATCCTAACTAGGCAATCAATGAACCTATAGACTCTAGTGTCTTAAATGAGTAAATGACATGCTTTGGAGCATTGTTCTTCAAATCCTTTCCTGAGGTAGTGAAAAATGTAGTATTAAAGTCTATTTTCAGATTGGGTGTGACCCAAGATAGCAAAAGCCAAGAAATCCAACATGGCAAGTAATGCTCAGAAAACAGCTTCTGCTGGCTCAACTTACCCACTTGTCAAGTGAAACTTTCTCTTCCAAGACAGGTTATCAAAATGTTAACAAAATGCCAATAAAACCTCAAAAAACCTCACTGATCTTTAAGCCTTTTGATGACCCTGTGTGGAAAAGCAAATTCATTGCTTTTTTACTTCTGGACTGCACCAATCCAAAACTGGAGAAGTAGGAGTGGGGCATCTCACCCCAAATGGATGAGAAGGAAATAGGGCTGCCCTGCTCTTCCCCAAGGCAGTGGACAGGTGAGAAGACACACACACAAAACATGTGGGAATCTTCTCTGGGTGTGTGCTGGATTGCTGCACATGGTAATGTGTCTCCTTCCTGTTACTAAATCCTCAAATTGTTGCTGGATGCTACCTCATTGAGGGTTTTTTTTTTGTTTTGTTTTCATTTGGTTTTTTGGTGTTGTTTGTTTGTTTTGGCTTTTTCTTTTGTTTTAATTACCTGTAACTATTGCAACATCCTATTAGAGTCTATTCTAGGTCTCACAATATTAATCAGTGTAGTTTTTAACTTTGTTCATGGAGGAAACATACAGAGAATCAGAATCTTAGTTTATGGGGCTGGTAGTAAACTTTAATGTTATTATGGGAGTCTAGTTTTAGTATATGTTTTCTCTGATGGGAAAGCTCACTTAAGGATTATCTTTTTCCTTGATGGATTTTGTTGTGCCCTGGCTGTAGTGACAGGACCAGTGAAATGGTTCAAGGTAAATAATTAAAAAAAAAAAAATCGGTGTTTTGGGGACAGATATTTTAATCTGGTTTAAATCCACAGTAAGTATAGCCCAATGAGACTTCAGTGAGCTGCTTTCCAAGGACAGGAGTGAATGGCTGGAGAGAAGAAGGGGGCAGACAGCAGGAATTTATTAAGCTGCTGCATCACCAAGGAGAACATGTCATGGCATTGCTGCTGACTCTTCTTCTCTACTAGAGGGAGTCATGCAAAGGGCATATCAGTTTTACAGCTTCTCCATTGGTTAGAAAACAGCTTTGGGCCTATTGGACATGCCATCTATCCCAAAATGCAGGAATTCAGAAGCAGTCATGTTTGACTATACTTTGCTTGTTCAGGGTCCTGAGGTAGCAGTTTTTCACATGTAATAAATGAAACATCACGAGCATTATTTGAAAGGGAGATTTGGTCCAAGAATTCAAATCTCGGAGTCAGAATTTCTGATTTTCTGGCTGGGGCAAAAGAACTTCACACCTAGCTCTGCTGGGTGAAGATACCAAGTTTAAAACATGCCAGGCACATTTTTCCTGCTATTATTGATTGAAAACTAATGGAAACCATTACAGACTTTGAACTGTGTGCATCTAGGTCTTATCAGCTAACTGGGTCTTAAAAACCAACCTGCAGCTCTGCTTATTAATCAAAATATGTCTTTATACACTGTCATTTCTAATTAGTGGCATGCAAATTAAAAATGCATGCCTAATTCCTAATTCTCTATCTGATTTATGCCACTGCCTCAGTTTCTCCTCACTTATACTTGGTGGTTATTTCTCCTTAACAAGTGCCTGACAGGGGAGTGCACTCACTGGGTTGAATATATTGATATATACGTATAGTCAGTGTCAGCTGGCATATAGGCTGATATAAGGGGGACTAATGGGAATGCATGAACAAGTAGCCTATGTTGTTTCATGTTGACACATATATGACACTAATCTGGAAACTCCTGCCAGAGGCAAGTGAAATATGTTTTGAACAACTAGAGGTATTCCTTCTGGGACTGCTCATACAGTATGATTTCTGTCTCTTTGACTGAAAGAAAACTCTCCTGATCTATTAGCAACAGTATTGATATCTGAAGTGATGTATGTAACAAGTGCAACTTTTACAAGAAACATTTTCCTGTATTTTCCAGTGAGTCCTTGCTTATACTCTTGCTTAATTCAGAGAGAAAACTCTTCAACATTACACTTTCATATATATATATTTGAAATTTTGATCTTTGAGCTAACAAACAGCAAAACAGAACTTTTCCTTGTGTGGATTGTGTTATTTACAGTGAAACTTTCTTGGAAAACAACGCTCCAATCATTGTAGGCTGATTCCCTAGACTGCAGGGTGCATAAAAATAACTTCTGATTGGTTTGCTTTTCTTTGTAGTAGTAGTGGTAACCAGAAAATGAAAAGTAGACAGTCATGGAGAAGTACTAAACACTATGGCAAATACAACATATAGTCAGAAAATGAATTACTTGTTCCCTGAAAGTAAATTAGGGAAGAAATTCTGAAACACTTTAAAAAGAAAAGAAAAAAAAAGTGTGTCTCTTACCACAAACGTTAACTGATAATAAGTGCTTAGATTTCTTAATTTACTTTTGCATATAATGTCTGCTTAGAGTTTACAATGCTGTTTCTGCACAAACAAAATCATTCACTGGTTCTGTTTCTAAAATATATATTATTTTTTTCAGGATTTAATGTGCAGCTCAGTACTTCTAACTAACTTCTTCTGTAATGTGAAGGCCATGTAATTTAAGAATTACAAGGCACAAAACTTTTTGTAATGAAAATAACCTTTTTTTTTTCCTTTTTGCTGGTTAAGAGCTGGGATGTGTGTGGGAAGGGAGAATTAAGGACAATGGCAGTGCTGAGGTTCCTGATACCATGATATTGCATCCAGAGTGGTGTGCAGAAATTCACTGGCTGGTAGAATCGTGAAGGTAATGAGGAGTATTACTGTGCCTGTTTCACAAGTGGAAAACTGAAGGAAAAAGAATTTTTTACTTGACCATGACTATGAGGAGCATGATTTTTTTACTGTGCTTGGTCCCTCAATCCTGCTGAGCTGTCTCCAAGTCTTGCAGTGGGCAGCTCTGCAAAAAAAAAGAAGAGAAAAGAAAACAAACAAAAAGAAAAAAAAAAAAAGAGAGAGAGAAAAGAAAACAAACAAAAAAACCTGGTAAGAAAGACTGAGAGTTTTTCATCCCATTCTAGAATGCCTTTTGTCCAGGCTGGGGCTGGTTTTGCTCCTCCCTCAATAAGGACTGTCAGGTGAAGATCACTAAAAATTTCAATACTCTTAAACATGAGCCCTGGGACTTCATCAGGAGATGGTCATCCATAAGCCAGGCTTTGAAGCAATGTGGCCAATGTTCATGTGTGGTGCTTTCCATTTGGTGGGAAATGGGAATATTGGAATGGTGGTACAAAACCTAAAATTTTGGTACTTCCAGCTTCCACAGGAGTTGCTGGTTTGGGCTGAGACAAAATTTTGTCATAGTAGCTTGTGTGGGGCTGTGTTTTGGGTTTGTTATAGCAGTGTTGATAACATGGGGATGTTTTACCTATTGGCAAACAGTGCTTACAGAGTGTCAAAACCTTTCCTGTTTCTCACACCATCCCATCAGTGAGTGGGCTGGGGTTATGCAAGAGGTTGGGAGAGGAAAGATTTGGGACAGCTGACCCCATTTGACCAAAGTGTTGTTCCAGAACATATGATGTCATGTCCAGCAATAAAAGAGAGTGTGAGGGGAGTGGGTGAAAGGTGTTTGGGGACTGGCTGGACATCAGTCGGCTGGTGGTGAGCAATTGTTTTCTTTGGCATCACTGTTTACTTTGGCATCACTTACTTTCCCTCCCTTCTCCCTTTTCTTTTCCCCCCTCATTTAAAGAAATAAACTCTGGCAGTTCAGAAGGCCAAGCCTATCCTGGGCTGCATCAAAAGCAGCATGGCCAGCAGAGCAAGGGAAGTGATTCTACCGCTTTGTTCTGCTCTGGTGAGACCCCACCTGGAGTGTTGCATCCAGCATTGGAGCCATGAGCACAGGGGGAAGGACATGGATCTGTAAGAGCAAATCCAGAGCAGAGTCATCAACATGATGGAGGGATGGAGTGCCTTTCCTATGAGGAAAGGCTAAGGTAACTGGGATTGTTCAGCCTGGAAAAGAGAAGGCTTTAGGGTATTCGAATCATGACCTTTCAGTACCTGAATGGACCCTACAAGAATGATGGAGAAAGACTTTTTACAAGAACACATAGTGACAGAACAAAAGGGAATGGCTTCAAATTAAAAGAGATTAGGTTTAGATTAGATATTAGGGAGAAATTATCTACTGGAGGGCAACTGGAGTTGCCCAGAGAAGATGTGGATGCTTCATCTCTGGCAGTGTTCAAGGCCAGGTTGGATGGTGCTTTGAGCACCATGGTAGGGGGATTGGAACTGGATGATCTTTAAGGTCCGTTCCAACCTAAATCTGTCTATGGTTCTAAACTGTCTGCATCTAAACCCATGAGTTTTTGTACTTTTGTCCTTCCGATTCTCACCACTATTCTACTGAGAGTGAGTGAGCAGCAGAGTGGTGCTTAGCTGCCTACTGAGGTTTATCGTTAGAGAAATTATGTATCTATCCATCTTTTCAGGCACACAGAAAAAGGCTAAGAACATCACAACCTATCAAGTGAATGAATTGAATGTGAGCCTAATTTTGAGTGTGTTAATAATCTTTACAAAGACATATTGCAGTAAGCTCCTTTCTTTATAATTTTTTTAAAAAAAAGAAAAATTAAAAAGAAAAAATATAACATAATCTGAAATTACTTTGAAGAACCTGCTCCCAAAATTGATGATTAAAGGAGGATAAACACAGTGCTTTCAGCTTCAAAGGTCAGTCCTGCTGAATTTAAGTGACTGATGGATTCTCTTCACTGGAGGTGCAATTTTCCCCTGAAGAAATATTTCTTAAAGACCAAGGCTGGCTACCTGGTATTTATGAGAGAGTCCAAAGGGAATTACAAGCGGGGTTGTTAGGGTTATCATTTACTCAGTGGTTTCTGCCGATATTGTAGCACAGGGACCCCACAGCACTGCTTCTTAGCATGTGATAAATGGTGCCCCAGGTGAAGGCGAGGGAGGAGCGAGGGCAGCCCCCACCATGACAAACTGTTGCTTTGCTGCTCCTGCTATGAACCTGCTGTTTCTCCTCCAACACCTCAGCTGTGCTGGGCGTTGCTCTTCTTGGACAGTGATAATGTGCCTGGGCATTGGGGTGCACCTTAGGGAGATTCTGGGTGCACAGGTACCAACAGGAGGGTTCTTTCCTTCCACGTGGCAGCATGGTGAAAACTGTACATTTTATGGCTGCATTTGTAAGACTCTTGTTGTACATTGGTCCAAGTGATTTCTGGTGGCTGATACAGCATAAAATATCAACTGTTATGAGAAATATGTACCTGAGCATGCTCCAGTGGAAAAGTGAGTTGTTTTGATCTCTCTGAGACCTGTAGCTGGTGATGGGAGCCTGTTAATAGGGTTGTGGTGCTAAAAGAGTGTTTTTGTGCATGTAATTCCTCCATTTTTGTATTAAAGAATACATTGCTTTCACTACAGAAAGTTATTAATATGTCTTGCATATTTAATCTATCATCCTTAGTTTTTCCTCTTGTGGAAAAAAAAAGCATAATTGGGTGAAAAATTAGAAAACAAGATGGACTATCCCATTTAAGAACCTCTAAGTAATTGTCTTGCTTTGCCATTTTGCTACAAGTGGACTTAAAAATGACTAAAGTCCCTCCCTAATTATTGCAAAATACAACAGCCAGGTATAAAATAAAATACCTGGTGGGATCTCAGATACTTTTTATGTTGTGTTTTGATTGCTGAGAAGATCGTGTACTCTGTTTTTTCTGTATTCTTTCAGGACTGCAAGCTAGTTTAATGCTAATGATTCAGCTGTTATCCAGCTAAAGAAAATAAGCTGGTGAGGTTAGCTAAGGCCACAGTCAGCATCAGTTGATGCAGTGTTGAATGTGTTGCGTATTTGGTACTATAAAGATAAAAGGAAAAGCAATGTTTAACACCTTCATTTAAAAAAACCAAACCCAATAAAGTGCCCCCCACCAAAGCAAACAAAGAAACAAAAAAATTCCTGGAAAATCCAAACAATAGGAAGTTCTTAAACTCTAAGAAAATCAGTGTTTGAACCCTAATGTTATTAATGTCTCTTCTGAACTCATTGTTTATGTCTCTTTGCCTTTGTTGTCCTTATCACATTTTTAAAGATGAAACTCTAAGTCTTCCCATTAATGTTTGGATTCCTGGACTGTTGTGGCTTCACAAGTCCTTATTGCTGCATCCTTGGCTCTTCTACAATGTACAGATGTTGACCGTGGATGAAAATGTTGCATTCACAGTTTATGTCTTGATCAGTTCTCTTCTGCTGGCAGCTTCTCACCATTCTGCTTTGAAGAGGAAAGAAGAGCCCTTTCAAGTTTTGTTGCTTTTGGTTCATACAGGTGGTTCTTTTCTGCTGAATGTTGCTGGGGCTTTATTTTCAATATTGCATAGTGCCCTGGAGCAGAGAGCTTTGCAACAGCTGTGGGTTTTTTGGGCAGGGCTGGCTCTAGGAGGAGCAGGAGCTGCTGGATTCACAGCCCCCGACATGGCTTCAATGGCCTTGGCACCCCAAGAAGGACACTGAAATCAAGGAGTGATGGCAAAGGTCATCAGGCTCTCAGCATCAGCAAAGCCTGGGCAAAAGCTCAGCCCTTCATTCATTAGTGAGAAACTGGAGTGACAATGCAGCCTTTTTCTGTGAAGCATTTGCAGCCCCATCCACTGTCCATTGTATTGATTTCAATGAAATCTAAGCACATACTCAGAATTAGGCACTTCTTTGCCTGGTGCCCTCAGGAGAGAGAGTTTCCTCAAGTGGGGCCAAACATGTACTTTGTACAGGGCATCTTCTGACCCAGAAGGTCACCTAAGGCTTCTGACGGACTCTGAAGGGATATTTTTAATTGTTCAAAGTCTTGTTTTGTTTTCAGGCTCAGCAAAATAACCTGAAAATGTGTTTGTGTAAATGCTTGAGGGAAAAATCTGGCCAAGGAGGAAGCTTGTTACTCATTGTGGGTCAGGTCCTGCAACTGTGGAGTCAGACTGAGTTTCGCCATTGATTTCAGTGGGCACAGGGGCAACCTGTCTGGCCATTTTGAATGAATAAATTTTATTCCCACATAGAGACAAAAGCAGCTGGTATAAAATTGAGGCCTTTTTGCTGACATGATATATAAATTGTGAAGATATCGTATGTTTGCTTAATTATAACCTCAAAATAGAGGAAAATTTTCATCCTTTCAATGGAAATCCCAGCGTAGGAAAAGAGGCACAAGTGGGACCCACGTAAATGCCAGATTATAGAAGCGTTCCTGTATTTGACAGCTTTGGTACTGTAGTCTTCAGGTAAAGTGTATTCTACAGCAAAGTCTGTGTCATGTTACTAGTTACTCTCTGGTCCTAGAAATGATCTACTTCTGGCCTGCTTCTATTTAAAACTAAGTTTTTGTTGGCATTGCTTCATCTGATCTTAAATTATGGCATTTGCTTATGTTTGTTAGTGGTTTTTTTTAAATGATCTGATGGAAATTTGTTTTCAAAAAGAAATGAAGGAGCAGCACTACATCATGCCTTTGCTCTTTGACAAGATCAGAGGGGGAATGGCACCACCCCCCTCCCCCTCACATCCCAGCAGGTTTATGGGCTGGTACTCTGCAAATCTGGGTGTTAAACCTAGTGGTATTAAGAACTTCAGACTGAAAATTCAGATATACTGCTTTTCCTTTGTTGCAGGAGGAAGCATTTTTTGCTGCAGGTCTGAGAAAGGCAGTCTGGCATGGAGAAAGAGGTAAGTGAAGAAAAAGCCATGCTTTCCAAAGAGAAAATTTCAAAAGGGGCTATTCCTACCATTGCTATTTCATAATATTATTTGTAGTGTGATGGGAGGGAAGTCAGCAGACGCATAGGCTCCTTTATAGCATTGACAAGTCAAGGAGATGATTAACGAGAGTACCAGACAATGTAATGGTAGGAGAAGGCCCACAGAAGTTAAACAAAAGTGCCTTCAGAATTTAGAGAATTCCCATGATCCATAGTAGGACCTCATTGTGCTTGTCTACTGTTTCTATTTTTGATTAGATTTATAAACACAGCACCACATATTTTCATGTGGCTCATAGCCCCAGGGCAGAGTGAGATTGACTGCGCTGAAACTGTGAGGCTTGTGAATTTCGGGCAAGGGATGGAGTGAAATAAGTAGTGTAATTGTTTTTGTGGAGTGACCGTGGGACCTCTTCTGTTCTGAATTACACATGGTTCAACCCTTTGACCCAACCAACCTCGGCAATGCCTGGTAGATCTCCTAAAGCTGTGCTGAAAGGTCCTATCAGTGACATGTTGGAACATTATCTGTCATGTGAGATGTGTGCCAACAACCATATTAAACTACATTAATTACTAGTGAGGCCATGTTTGTGACAATCTCAACTTCATTTAACCCATCATCATGTTAGTTATTGTTTAAGCAGGAAGTACAAATGGGGACAATTTATGAAATCAAAATGCAGCACCAATGTTTTGTTTAATAAATTGTATGTTTTACTTTGTTTTATTTCCCTTCTGTTTTTTTTTTCTTCCCCTTGCATTTTTGTTCTTGTCATCAGCTCTGTAGCTTGAGTTTTTCAAGGGCTTTTCTATTTTAAGAGCAAGCAATAAAAAGACTACTTCTTAGTAACTGAACTAATACACCAGTGAGATTGTTGCTTCTTTCAGTGCAATTGCAAATAAAAGTTGACTGAAAGCACTGCATTTGTTTTCTAGCAAGAAGCAAGTGTGCTGATAGTTTGTGTAGGGCTGAAGGATCACGTGGGTTACTCACTTGATGTGCACCCTCACTGATTTACTCTCCAGCTAGTGGGGCTCTGTATGGCCATGCTTGCACACCTCTGAGCATTCCCATTAATGAAGCGTACATATATTTTTAATAATATAAAAGCAATTTTCTCATAGGTCTGAGCATCTAGGTAGCAAAGCTTTCTGTGGGTCCTCAAATGGCAGTCCGACATATAGAAATTCGGGAGGGATTTTTAGCGCATATTTGCTTTCTGATGCATTTCTGCATTTTATAGGGCAAGATGCAAAAGCTCTCCCACATGCTCCTGCGTGGGCAGCGTGCAGGTTCACTCATGCCTAGCTGTGCCTGGTGTTCTATTAGACTAGACACACAGGGTTACGTCTTCCACCTACACACCAAGCTGCTCTTTTATGACAGACCTTTTCCTTTGGCCTCGTTGTCTAGCCAGAATAAACAAAGAGTGAGGTTATTTATTTATTTAATTTTATTTATTTTTGATTGCTGCAGAGTCAGCCAAAAACATCTTTGACCCTCCTAAGTGTCATTCTCTTTAGCAATGAAGAGTTTGTTCTCTGCAAAATCGAACATGGAGTGCTTAAAGCAGACAGGTGCAAATAGCAAGCTGTTTCTCTTTGGCTGCCATCCCTTAAATAGACAAAGTAATAGGCTGGGAGAAAGGAAAAGGTTCCAGCTCCAGCTGCATAACGAAAAGCCTTAACAGGGACTTAGCAGCTGGTTGCGAGAATTAAATGTTGTAAATACCACCTAATGCATTTGTGTGTGTGTGAGTGTGTTCACAGAGGAATAAGTGCTTAGTGAAGCTCCATCCCTTTTTATGCAAGAGATCATTCTTTGAAAACTGTGCTCTTCATTTCCGTTGAAAGGCTAATGCTCTCACTGAAGTGAATGAGAACAGAAGCCAACATACCTGTTCCTGTTTACTGTCGTTACACTCCTTAGAGCATTTCAGGCATTATTAGGTTCTTGGAGCCCTACCAGATTGACAATATTTCCAGCTACTTCTCTTTTGGCTGTATTCAGACAAGGCCCCAAAGGAAAAAAACCAAAAAAATCCCAACAACCAACAACAAGACAACCAACCCACAAACAAAACCATGGATGAATCTGCTGAGCTAGTTTGCTGATGTTAGAAACAGTTGTTCATATTAGGAACACCTAATTTAATTTCATGAAAGAGACATAACATGCCAGTATGTGTATGAATCTAAGGTATGCATTTCCTAAAAGGAACTAAAACTCTGTCATTCCAAAGTTGCTCTTCTTTTTGACTTCCAGCTTGCATGGGGACTGCTGTCTGGAAGCAGTAACTTTAACTCTAAGGCTGCTGATGAGGTCTGTCTGTGTGATCTTCGTAAGCAGATAAGGGTAGGGAGACAGCTCAGAGCAGAGCTTGTTTACAGCAGGACAGAAGAAAACAGCTAGACATAAATGAGGGCTGACGGTTTCATGAAGCACAATTGGTTGATCACAGATTCAATATGACTGGCCTGAACTGAGCGATGATCCGTACAGTATGCAAAATTCACTTTCTTGCTGGTCTGTGCCCACCAGCCTTCCAGCAGCTTTCCTAGAGCCCCTCAGCCACGGCTTTGAGTGGAACCAGAGCTGAACGCAGCATTGTTGTACCCAATTCCTTTTGACAACAATCACATTCTTTTAAAAACTTCATAGGTTTTAGTTGTCACTGGTTATAAATGAGGGTTTTTTCCCTTGCCATTGCTGCTGCTGCTGCTGTTGTTGTGGTGCTCGCTGCTCTCCCAGAGATGTGAGTGCTGCAGGTTCTGGTACTCCCAGTTTTCCTTTGTTTCTGTCGGTATCAGAAAGCAGGCAGTGCGTTTTAATGACGACTGGGTGCAAAAAAAGCTTTTAAAGGTTTAAGTCCCTTTTTGAGTGACACAGTGATTAGTCTGCACTGTGCTCAAACACTTCTAACTCCCCTTGTCTTTGCTGTAGTGCAGCACACTCAAGGTAAAAAGACATTAAAAAAAAATTAAAAGGCAGGACTCCTTGTTTTTCAGCCACAGTCATAGAGATTTGAGGTAGGATGAATTGCTACCAGCAGCAAGATCACCCTTTAAACTCGACTTTGCAGACAAGGGACATCCCCTTTCTGTGTGCTGGTTGTGGATGAACAGATCTGATGCATTTGGTTTATGGATGCAAATTGTATACCCCCATCACTGCAGGTGTAAACCAGCACAGACTTTGCATCATTTGAGGCTCTGGCTTCAGGTTGTGCAACTTTTTTTTTAATGCTTTTTTAATGTTTATTTTGAGATAATGTTCTGTAATCAGAGTGGAGGCTTTCTGTAAGGATGTGTGTTCATGTGCATTTGTCTCTGTATGCTCACACAACTGGACTTTGCCTGCAAACAATCCAAATGGTCACTGAAAGCATTTATTTAATTTGTTATTGAAAACCTAAGATTTTCAGGTATGTGCAAACTGATTAAAGAACATTTGCTTTAGACATAAATTTGCATAAATACATACATGAAGTAGTAGTGACTAATGATAAAATGAATGTAAAATGCAACTGGATAATTTCCTGCCTATTCTCTGATGAGAAGGCAAAGTACTATAAGAGTAGGGGGGTTGGGAAAGGAAACCTAAAATAAAAAGCAGGGGAAATAGTGTTATTTACACAACTTAAAATTGCTCATGTGTAAAAGAGAGAAGGATGAGGAAATTGGCTGGAAATAGGTATGAAAGGAAAATGTCTTCTAATTTCCTCTCAAGCACAAAGTGACTAGAACATGTGTTGATTACACAAAGGCCACCACTGAAATACTCTGTTATTCAGTATGTTGAGAAGCAACACTGGAAGAATTTAACTCTGCTGTTGGAAAGCAAGCATTGCTTTCATTCTAAAGAATATGAAGAACATATTTTCAAAACTTGATTGCATAAAGGCACAAGGGCATCATCTCTTTGCAGTACATAGGGATCACAAGCCTATCAATTACCTGAAAATTCTAGTTGGCATTTGACTGAAGTACCAAATAATTTCCATGTCACTGAAAAATACAAAATCTGGTGTTAACTGTATTGAATACTAAAATAAAAACCACATAGAACCCCTAAAATATCCAACACCTCAACACCCTCCCCAAAATAAGACAAAAAACTCTCCAAAATTCCAAACAATAAAAACCCCAAAACACACACATACACAAATCCACTCCAGAACCCACTGCAGTACAGATCATTATTATGTATAGGGAAGGAGGAATACCTTTTTTTTTTCTTTGTGCTGTGAAAGGAGCTTGTGAATTTTCCAGACTACAACAGTTGAAAGTTGAATATGGCCAATATAGTGAGCACTTAGTTTTGCTAGGGAAATCTGACATGCAGAAGGAACACACAGAATCTAATGCAGATCATCTTAATTCTGTCAGAGTTACAGATGCGTACTGATTTATACCACTTGAAAATTTGCCCCAGAATTTTTGGCTTCATATTGTTTTCTTTAGCTGCTAACATGAAGTTGAAGGTTTTGTGTGGTGATTATACACAGCACAGCAAGAATAGTTATCACACAGCAGTGTTACAAATACTCTGGAATCTTTAAAAGTGGCTCAATTAAAATTTTATGGCATGCAGGAATGCAGCAATTCTTTAATATTGCAAAGCAGACATAATTCTGAAGATACTAACTGAATGAATGTGTATTTTTGAAAAAATCAGAAGCACTAGGGTGAATTTCAGAACCTATTGAACTCCTATCAAAATTATCATTAACTTCAGTTGTGCTGCATGTGGCTTGCAGGAATTTTTTCTCCTATTGTATTTATTTATTATAGCTTTCAGAATGTGTCTGGTCATTTCTACATATTTGCTTTTTAGTAGGGTATTAGCCTTAATTTAGAGGATGTCCACTGTTTCTAGAAAAACATGTATATGCCTGTGCACATATACATGTATAAATATGAAGATATTAATGTTTATAGTAACCTGTCAGTGGTATGGTTCAGTTATTTTTGACAGGTTTATTGATTGTGTCTGCTGCAAGTGCTGTTTTTTTACTGGAAATTGACACCCACAATCAAAAGCAAAAGATGGATGCTGTAAAAACTGCAATTTTTCAATTATTCTTATCATTAATCCTTTTGTATTGACAGTTTCCAGGAGCTATGTTGCCAGGAGTGGTCTTTATCACTGGACAATTAAGCAACTGGCTTGAAAAAATAATGCTGTTTTTGGAAGCTGCCATGTGACGTTCTAAAATAAAGGGGAGCAAACTCTTTTCTTACTTTGGTTTTGGCTTTGATTCATATTCCCAGATGTGCTTTATTTTAGGTACTCTTTGCCTGTTTTGACTGTCAGCATCTGAAATACGGTCTGTAGCCACATATCAGACCACGTGTGACTCTTGCCGAATGTGGCTCTAGGTATTACACAAAAGACAGTGTTCAGCACTTGGGCCTTCCTTAGTTCAGTGTGGCCTTGCTTGCCCATGGGAATTACTGTGGAACTTCTTAAGGTTCCATGAGATCTCCTGCTGTTTGGTTTCACTGTAACCCTTGTTGGCATCTCTCTAATATTAAATGAAGTCTTCGTTGTTGTAATGAGTCCTGCTTCCTCTCTCCCCTGGACTGTGATCTCTCTTTTGTGACACTTTATTTAAAATTGCTTTAGTTCTCTTGTCATTCCATTGCATTGTATGAAAGGCTCGAGCTCATTCATTTTTAGCTCCTCTGTGATGAACAGATACACTGGTTATGTAAGTGGATTTAGAAAATAGGAGGAGAGGGAACGTCAGCGAAGTCTGTCTATAAATATGCTACATAACCAAACTTTTCTAAATGAAGCACTGCCGTTCTGCAAGTGAAATAAAGCAGTTGCTGTTGAATGCATACTGAGAGACAAGTCTTATAATGTCTTCGTTTGTTGAGGTTTCTTTGCATTAATTAAAATTGGGGAAAAACAAAGTATTTTAATGTGACCTTCATTTGGCATTTGTTTCAACTTTTCTTCTATTTTGTTTAATTCTTCCACTTCTGTTGTTCAATTAGTGTTTGACCCCTTTAGCAGAGATTTAAATTAAATGACATTTCAATGCCATCCCATATTTAAAATACTGTGTTAGTTGTGGATCATAAAGGATGATCTTCGTTCTTTAGCTAATTTATTCATTTAACAATTTCCCTCCAGAAGTTCCAGCAGAAGGCTCTGAAGCAAACTAAGCAGAAGAAATCCAAGTCGGCTGAATTTCTGATGGGTGAGCCTTGCTTGATGAGTTATTGCTCATAATTTGTGTAAGGATTAATTAACTAATTACAGACAAATGGCTGTGGGCGAAATTTTGCTCTTGCTTGTCAGGGTGCAATTTGTAATTATTTTAATCATTTATTCTTTTTTTTTTTTAGAGTTAATTTTAACCTAATTCTGTTTTGGCGACATTTGAGGACGATACACTTGAGTCTTTCAGCAAAGGAATTACTAGAAGGAATTTTCTGCTTGTCATTGAAATACACTTTGCTATAATGTGCTCTTCTGACCTCCTTGTTTTCTATAGTAAAAGAAGAGAGAGCAGCAACAGAAGGCATTGAAAATCCAGCTTTTAACATCAGCAGCACACATCTTTCAGCATATCAGCCTTCAGAAGAGAAAGTTATTAGACATGACAAGCCAGATAGCACCCTTGCAGCTCACCAACAAAAACTCGGGCTGCAAGCCCATGCTGAACCAAGAGGTGAGACATCAAACCTGATTAGCTTCAAACGCAACAAGAGTGGTTGTGGTTGTTCCCCATCCAACCTGCACGCTCCACAGCCTGTGCTGGGCGTTGCCATCCCGGCATGTCCAAGCAGGCGCCCTGCAAATCCTGGGTAGGAAATCCAACATGCTGCCAAAAAAACATGGGCTGTCTAAATATTTAGAACACAGGCTTTGCTCCATGCTCAAGTGACTCCTTGTGATGGGGTGCAGGTTTTGTGGGCTGTCTGCCAGTGGGAGGGAGTGAAGGGAGTCAGTGCTCATAGCAGTGCTTCCCCCTAATTTGGATTGAGCTGGGGTTTGGAAGCACTGCAGCCAGCCTGAGCCCACAGATGCTGCTCCCTCACTGGCTCCCTTGCATTGAATAGTTTCAAACAGCTTACAGATCCATGATTGATTGTTGTCCTTAGGTCTCCCATATGCCCTCAGTCAATCGACATCTTGCCTCTGCTTCATCTTTCATTATTTTTTTTCAGCCAGTGCTGCTCAGATGCTTGGAGCAGAGTCCTGTTTGCTTGGCTTGTCCAGGAGAGCAATCCTGGCTTTTGAGCTCAGTTTTGATGCAGCACCTAAAAGAACTGCTGCCTTGGGAAGCAATTTCTGTTTATAATTTTGGTTTATCCAAACTGTAAGGAGATTCACTTGATGTCAGTTCTCCTTTTGCAAAAGTTTGATCTCTTTTAATCTGTTATTTAATTATTCTATTTTGAATTATTATTAATCCTGGATGTTAGGGAAAATGGTTATCTTAATAATCCAGTGAGGAAGAAGGTACCAAAGTAACTGTGTGGCTTTGAACAGTCCTGATCAGCCAGCATTTCCCATCAAAGTCACAAGTGGAGGTGCTGCTTGCTAAGTACGCTTGCATGCTGCCAACCCAGGTATTTAAATGGATAAGTGCAGGCTGATGAGCAGACCTTCAGGCAGTCGTTTTTTAAACATTGGACCTTGTTGTGTTAAGATTTTTATCCTTGCGGGACTGGAGAGCCCACAGCTCCTAATGGCTTCTTGCAAAATTAGGTTTAGCTTTCCATTTAGCCTTCATGTGACTCTGTGCAGTGCCACATGGAGCAGGAATTCTTAGTCTTTCCTTTGCAGACTGTCAGAACAGTGATTAAGCAGACAAAGGGATTGATTGTTTTTTAATGAAATAGTCTATCTGGCAAAAAATGAAGTCGGGCTCGCTGGAGACTATCCATGCTTTCAGTCGCCTCTTCAGAAATTCATGAATAGTTCCCTCAAGAAAACAACACATTTTTTTAAAAGCTTGAAATGCGTTTTTAAACATTTTGATTTTTCATCCTAAGTAGCATTTTGTTCAAAAAACCCCTAGCTGAATATAGTCTTTGTGAAAGGAGTAGAAATTGTTCCATTTTGCCTGGAATGCAATGCCTTGAGACAATGCTAAGTGTTTCTGTAATGGGAGAGGAAAGCTTGTCGAGAGTTGGAAAATTTTGTTTCCCAACACTGTGTCTCCCTTCTCGACCTTCTGTTCATCAGTTAGCCAAAAGATCAGTTATTCACATAGCTCTGCCTCTAAGTCAAGCAGCTATTAAAAAGTAATCATCCATTTATACCATCATAAAAAAGTCTAGATTGGAAAATATCTCTAGAGATCATCTGGTCTAACCTTGCATTAAATTATTCTTAGTCTAACTTGTGTCAGCACTTGTTTGGCAATCACAGAGACCAGTTAAAATTTATCAAGGGCTGCTAATAAGCTAACATATTCAAGCCTGAAATATGGGAAAAATCTTCAGGTACCTCATAAGCTAATTTTCCCCATTTCCTAGTGTAACAATTCTTCATTTAAGAGGGAAAGAGGAAAGACAGCTACACAGATAAACACATTATCACATTAATGCACTAATGTATAGTCATATTTCACAGTCCTCAGTGAAGACTATGTCTACAGGTAGTTTATGCCTGCATGCATCAGTATTTTGAGGTCTGGGTCATCCAGAACCCAAGGGATCAGTTCTTTGAGTCTACCTTCCTTTGATCCAAGCTCATAGATGCTTTGCATAGCTGGTGCCATTTCAGCTCATAGCAAAACCAAACATGGTGCTGAACACTATTGCCATCTTCTACCACAGGGGAAACATTTCCACAGCATTCTTTCCTGCTCCTCTGCTCTCAGGAGCCACTATGCAGTTCACAAGAGACAGCACAGAATTCTCCTTTTTTTCTACCTGGGATGGAAGACTAGCATTCCATGCTGGAAGCTATTTCTCTAGGAGGGTGTGCCCACACACCAAGCACAACAGCACAGCCCATGTGAAAAAAAAGTTTTAGGCTCTACACTGCTCCCTTTCCCTTTTCTCCTCTTCTTCCCCAGATGCTAACAAAATGCTCTCCTTTTTTGGAGTTACCTCCCTTCACAGCTGTTGGCTGCTTTTCCAGCTCTCAGCCCCCAGGGTTAAGTTCAGTTGCTTACTCAATAGGGAATGGCATTTGTCAATTCTAATGCTTGGTGTTAAACTGTGCAACTTAAAACCAGTTATAACCTTGAGCAAAATTATTTAATCTCAGGATTTAGCAGATTACAGGTTGAGAACACTATATAAACATCAGGCTGGGTTTTCAGGCTAAGCAGTTGGAGGCAAGGCAGAGAGATGGCATTGCCTTTCCATTATCTTTCCACCTATCGCTCATGTTGTTAATGGCAGCAAATAATAGCCACAGGGGTTGCTATCATTTCCTCCACCTGGCAACAGAGTCACAGGCTGTTCCTCTGTCAGCAATTGCCAGAGGGAGTTGCTCTCTAGAAAAACCTCCACCTACTTTGAGATGTATTCTTGCACACCTCCATACTTACATATACTGGGAAGTAGTGCGAGTAGTCAGCTGCAAGTTCTAGACAGCCTTAAAACCTGTTCCTGAAATTTGGCTATTTGTCTGCACAGGGTGCTCCTCTACAGAACAACCTTTACCTGGAGATTGAATAGCAAGTGGAAAGGCCTGAGACACTGTAAATTGTGTGCATCTGCCCCCAAAGAACTTAATTTACATATATGTTTATGCTTTTTCATTTTTTTCTCCCATAGTATAATATCTTTTAGAAAGAAGACTTTGTGAACTCATTCTTGTTTGCAAGAAGTTTATTAAAATTTTTGGTAATTTTTTTCAGAGAGTTTTTCACTTTCCAAATTAGATTGGTGGGGGCTATTCTTGTGACTCAAAGTGCAAGGCTTCTGCGTACTTTGCTTACGGGGAAACTGGGGCAGAGCATGAGACCTTCTCTGGTGTCACCATGCAGAGCTTCAAAAGAAATAAAAGTTCTGATCCTTAGTCTGTTCCTCTTTTCATTAGGCTATTCCGTATCTTTCACTGTTCTATTTTCTATGATGGACAAAATTCCAGATTTTATCATCACTGGTAGCCTGTTGTTCAGGACTAGGTCACTGAGTAACTCTTTCTGCTCTTTGCTCTTCATCATCAGTGAAGTCCTGGTATTGTTGTTAAATGTTATAATGACCCAGGCGAACTGCCTGACTATTTACCCAGATTAATCTCCTGATTTTTCAGCCAACTAATTGGTTTCTATCCTATTTTCTCTTCTGAATTCTGTGCTAACTTTTTGCTGATTGCTGCCATCACCTTCATTTCTTTCACATATTTCTTATGAAATTAAGTTCATCTAGCAGCAGCCTTGTAGTTGCCAAACTGCAGTTTTTTTTTATTTCTTAAAACACTCAGTTTCCTCATGGCTAAATCGAACCAACCCTTCTGCCTTTCTCCCCCTCATCAAACATTGAATTGCAGAGATTTTCATGATGGCCATCCTAATAGAAGGTCTAATAGATAAATTCCCCTGGAAAAAAACACATTAGGGGTTACATCACCCAAATCTTCAAGAACCTGTGTCAACCAGATCCTCATTTGTCAGACACTTGATCTCAAGGTGAGACAATATCAGTTTTTCTCTTTTCTCCAGGGGCGTTTAGACACAAAGTACTTTGTAGAGTGTCCTAAAGTTCAGGCTGGCTTGATAAAGTCTCTGCCCAATAAAGAGCTTCCAGCAAACTGTCATGACAGGAACACCAAACTTCCAGGAATTATTCTGTTTTTGTCTGACAGCAGAAGACAAGGCCAATTGCTCAACTTCAAATGGATGATGTATGTTACAAGCAATCCCTGAACACAGGACTACTGCACTTAGCATTTTTTGTAGGCCTGTAAAGCAGATGTTACTGTATTTTAGCATTCAGTACACTTTTTTCCTCAGCTGCTCTTATCAGAAAAAGTCCAAATGCCTTATACCAGTTTGTGCTTTTTAGTGTTCATCACAGTGATATACAGATTTGGTCTAGCTAGTGCTTAGAAGAGCCCTGTGGGATGGCACTGCTCACATTGCCACAAGATAGGTAAAATTTCCAGCCCAACCATACAGAGAGAATTGATGTCAGGTCAAATTAGAATGTGATCTGACATAAATCTCTGTGGTGTCAACCGCACATGCAAGCTGCAGAATCCAGGGATGGGGCTTTTTGGGCATACTCCCAGTGCATGGCCTGCCTTGTAGCTGGTGGCTGCACAGGCACCTTTGGAGACTGTGATACTCTGTGGATTTTGCAAGGAAGATAAAGGAAAGGCTAATTGTGTTCTCCTGTATGTTGTGCACTTGTAAATGGTTTGAGGCAGTCTGACCCTAAATATTGATGATTCAGGTTAAAATTGTCTCCAGATGACAAGGAGTATTAATTTTTTTTCCTATTATCCCCAATACACAAATCTTTTTTCAAAACTAGATTATCTCCTAAAATAAAGAAGCCCTAATTAATTCTACCATTTTATCTGCAACAGGCACTGTTAACATCTCATATCATGCTCCAATAAATTTGCCCACAGAGATTAACAACATCTGAGGGAGGAAAGAAAAGGAAAGAAAAAATGGAGGGAAAGAAAGCCTTTTCAATTGAAGACCAGGAACTATTCTTCTAATTAACCCAGGTACAGAATGGCCTTAGCATGGCT